GGACAACTTAATATTATCAAAAACTATTAAATTACGCAATGTTGATATGTCGCTAAAAAAAAATAAAGTAGGCATTCAAAAGCATTTTAAAGAATCAGGCAATTTAAAATTATTAGATAGAAATTTTTAAAGGACAAAATTTTAATAATTTTTACTATTTAAAATTAAAATTCAGATAACTTAATAATAATGTTTTTTTTTTTTTTTTTTTTAGACATTTCACCCAAAAGAGTCAAATATTGGGAGTATCAAAACTAGCACACAATCATAGTTACAGAGAATGGGAGCAAGAGTTAGATGTGTGACAAAACTAAAGGATGAAGAAAATGACAGGAATTAGATCAAAAACATCCGAAGATGCCAATTGATATTGCATTAGAATAGTTGAAAGATAATAGCTATCATGGAAAAAAGCAAAACTAGAGGAAGGGTGTTGTAAAGATGGAAGTGCAAGACATGAAGCTATTATCATAGGTGGAAATATTGCTTAAAGCATTTAACAGAACTTAATATGATGTTTCAACAGTGAAAGGGTAGGGCTGAGATGTCAACCTGGTGCCACATTTAAATTCATGCAGTTTGGGAACTAGCAAAAGTAGCTCATAGAAGCAGTTACCATGAAAGTATTTGTAGAAAAAACAGAGGGAAGCAACAGCACATCTGTGAAAGATTGACTGTAACTATACTGATATAAAATCGTGTACTGCTTTGAAAGCAAGTAAGTAAAATATATTAAAATTATTAAATTAGGCCCGTGTACTGCCTTGAAATATTCACAGAATTCAAACATCTTTAAAGTACTAAACTGTACTGACATCTTTTTTCTATGTGCCATGGCCCTTCAGGTGGTGGCTTAATATGGCTATTAAACTAATTTCCTTTCTTTTGTTTAAAGCTCTTAATAAAAACTTTTATCTTTTTAAACATCATTGTCTTCAGTCATCCATTTAAACAAGTATGGTCAGACAGGTAGGCTATGTTTCTATTAAACAATTGCCTCTTGTCTTTTACCTTCAATCTGTCCTTTAATGTATAAGATCTTCCAAGCTATCAATCCTTATTATGTGCCTGAGAAATTTCAACTACCAATCTGATGTTTAAGTGCAAATTTCATTTATGCTTCCATCTTCTTTAAAACATCATTATTGCTCACACATTCAGCCCATGGCATTCTCAGCATCCACCTGTAGAATGACATCTCTCATGCTTCGAGTCTCTTCTTCATCTAAAACATGAGGAGACTGTCCAAAAAATTAAAATATATAGGAGAACTGATATTCTGTTAACTGTTCAGTGCATTAAAAAAACTTTTCTTTGTTTCTGTTGCTTATTAAAAAACTATCTCTTCATCTTTATATGATATTATCCAACAATCGATGCCATATATTGTCAGGACTGATATATTGTAAATGAGTTCAGACATCTCTTTAAATTACATTGTCATAGGGCTGTATATTACCTTTGCATTTAATCACAACAAATATTATAAAAAACTATTTTTACCTGTTGATTTGTTGCATCAAAAATGTCTCTTTCAAAAGCATTTTAAAGAATCAGGAGAAAATTGTTCAAAATTTTTCACTTTTTATATAGGAGGACTGAAAATACAGATAACAATAAAATGTTTTTTTTTTTTTTTTTTTAAGTTTCTCTTGCTTCAAGTCTCATTTTCATCTTTGAAGAAATCATCTAGCCTTCACTGCAATATAGAAGGACTGATATTACACAACAGTTCAGTAGCCATTTCTTTGTTTCTGTTGCTTCATGTCTTTTCTTTAGTGAAAGGGTAGGGCTGAGATGTTTTGCATCATTCACTGCCAAAAGTAGCTAGGAGGTCCATGAAAGTATTTGTACAAAACAGTTCAAATTACACATCAGTTCAGAATGCTTTACTTTGTTTCTTTTGCTTCAAGTCCCTTCATCTTTGAAGAGATTATCCAGCATTCACTGCCATATAGGAGGACAGATATAACATAACAGTTCAATACTATTTTCTTTTGTTTCTATTTTACTTTAAGTCTCTTCTTCATCTTTGAAGAGATTGTCCAGCATTCACTGCCATATAGGACGAATCTGATGTTTAGGTAACAGTTCAGCCATCTTCTTTTCTTTGTTTCTTTTGCTTCAAATGCTTCGAGTCTCTTCTTCATCTTTGAAAAGATTGTCCAGCATTCACTGCCATATAGGAGGACTGATATTCTGTAAGGTTAGTACTCTTTTCTTTGTTTCTTTTGCTTCAAGTCTCTTCTTCATCTTTGATGATTGTCCAGCATTCAATGCCATATAGGAAGACAGATATAACATAACAGTTCAGTACTCTTTTCTTTTTCCTTTTGCTTTCACATCAAAATGCTTTTCCTGTTATTTCTGTCTCTTCATCTGGGAAGAGATTGTTCAGCATTCACTGCCATATAGGAGGACTGATATCACATAAAAAGGTTAGTACTCTTTTTTTTGTTTCTTTTTGCTTCAAGTCTCTTTTTCATCTTTGAAGAAATTGTCCGCATTCAATGCCATATAGAAGGACAGATATTACATAACAGTTCAGTACTCTTTTCTTTGTTTCTATTGCTTCAAGTCTTTTTTATCTGGGAAGAGATTTTCCATCATTCACTGCCATATAGGGAGGACTCCATATCACGTAAAAGGTTCAGAATGCTTTTTTTCTTTGTTTCTTTTGCTTCAAGTCTCTTCTTCATCTTTGAAGAGATTATCCAGCATTAATGCCATATGGGAGGACAGATATAACATAACAGTTCAATACTCTTTTCTTGGTTTCTATTGCTTCAAGTCTCTTCATCTGGGAAGAGATTGTCCAGCATTCACTGCCATATAGGAGGACTGATATCACGTAAAAGTTCAGTACTCTTTTCTTTGTTTCTTTTGCTTCAAGTCTCTTCTTCATCTTTGAAGAGATTGTCCGGCATTCAATGCCATATAGGAAGACAGATATAACATAACAGTTCAGTACTCTTTTCTTTGTTTCTATTGCTTTAAGTCTCTTCATCTGGGAAGAGATTGTCCAGCATTCACTGCCATATAGGAGGACTGATATCACGTAAAAGGTTAGTACTCTTTTCTTTGTTTCTTTTGCTTCAAGTCTCTTCTTCATCTTTGAAGAGATTGTCCAGCATTAATGCCATATAGGAGGACAGATATAACATAACAGTTCAGTACTCTTTTCTTGGTTTCTATTGCTTCAAGTCTCTTCATCTGGGAAGAGATTGTCCAGCATTCACTGCCATATAGGAGGACTGATATCACGTAAAAGGTTAGTACTCTTTTCTTTGTTTCTTTTGCTTCAAGTCTCTTCTTCATCTTTGAAGAGATTGTCCAGCATTAATGCCATATAGGAGGACAGATATAACATAACAGTTCAGTACTCTTTTCTTTGTTTCTATTGCTTCAAGTCTCTTCATCTGGGAAGAGATTGTCCAGCATTCACTGCCATATAGGAGGAATGATATTACGTAACAATTCAGTACTCTTTTCTTTGTTCCTTTTGCTTATCACATCACAATATAGTAGTCTTTTCCTTGTTACTCGCGAGGATTTTCTATTTCTTAGTACTCTGCTTAGCTTTTTGAATGCATCTTAGGCTAGCCAATGCTCATTTGGATTTCAGTGTCACACTTCCTAGGTATTTCAATTTTTGTAGTTGTTTGATTTTGTTATCCCCAGTTTTCAGTTAGCACCTTGGCTCCATCCTTTTGTTAACAACCATGCATTCTGACTTATTGTCATTGATGTTTAATCTTTCATTCTTGATTTCTTCTTTTTCTTGTTCTATGTGCCATGTTTCTTCATAACGTGAGCGATCACGGCTCTCCACAACATCCTGCCTTTTATCGCTTGAATTTACTTTGGACCCTTTACCATACATCTTTGCCATTCATTCACAAAATCTTGTTAAGTATGTTACTGTTCTTTCCTGCTTTTCTTACCAACAGTACGCCCTGTAAGTGTTAAATTCTCCAAGACGACTTTTCTCATTAACGAAAAGGGAAGTCAAATAATTTTAAGCAGGCGGAATAACTTGCCCGAAATTTTGAAAATCTATCGTATGTCTTATTACATTGTTCAGCTTTTGGAAGGCATCTTTCTGCACTTGGTTAATTCTGACATTTTCATTTCAAAGCTCACATCTTCGGCTGCCTCTCTTCCTGGCCACCATACATTTGTCTTTTCATATTTAACTAGCAGTCTAACCCGTCTTTGACCAGGTCTTTCATTACTGGGAATTTTTGCCGTTAAATTGGAGCAGTTTAAGTTTAAAGTCATCCCACTCGAAAATCAATGTACGGACATTTGGGTGCAACTGAGACAGATCACAAAATTGGGGGGGGGGTAACAATTTGAATGGTGGGGTTGAAAAGGGAATTGTATAATAATAAATAATATTATTGTAATAATTTAAACCATTTATTTTTATTAAAGTTTCTATGAAAGATATATATCCAAGAACATATAGTAAATAGTAAAACGTTGCTGAGAGGTATAATGAACAGGAAGTAGTGGAGAGCCATTGTTGCAAACAATTTGGAATCAAAACCGGCACTGAAGAATTATTTATCAAACAAAAAAAGATTCATCAAAATCGGATGAAAACTGTGGAAATGCATAAACAACATCCGATCACACACACACAAACACATACAGACATTTTGAAAATTATAGATATAGATAGTCCTTTCTTCTAGCTTTCTTTTCTAGTGTTTTTGCAGTTTTTCATCTGGGTCAACTCTCAACACGATACTATCCACTTATGTAGAAAGATTGATGCAATTCTGGACTGTTGCTAAAATATCAAAGATAAGGTCATGTCTATTTCTTACCCTTAATTGGTGCAGATAAGCTGGTTACCTGTTAGTCCGAATGAGACCGACGGGACCGTCTACAGTGGCTACGAGGAAATATCTAGGCAGATCTTAATTTATACGTTGTACTACTTTTATAGGGAATAATAGGCTCCTCGCACGTGTTTTGCAAACAAAAGCAGGATGTGTTTTCCATTCGCTGTAAATTAAAAATAAATTTAAATTAACCGAACGAGAGGACAACCTGTAATTTGAAGTGTGCAAAATCGAGGATGCAATTTAAAATGTAAGACGAGTCTGAGAGACCACACCTGTTTAGTTCTGATAGTTTTTTTTAACTCTTCCCTCAGTTTCTTTCTTTCTCTCTCTCTCTCTCTCTCTCTCTCTCTCTCTCTGACGTCAATAAAGTTATCGTGCCATCAAAGAAGAGAACGTCCTTGCTACCGGAGAAGGTTTTGTTGGGAAGGGAAGGAAATGATAACAGAGAACTCTTCTTGACCGAGAAGATAAGCTTTCTTCCGTTCCCTGGTGACAGATTCCCGAAAGGTCACTGTGGGCAAGCTGATAAGCAGAACACTACAATGCTGTGAGACACTTGACAAACGAGGAACGAGGTCGAGTACTATAAGTGTTCTTCGATTCTACCAGAAGAAACCTTGTCAATGGCTTGTAAATTTTAATGGCACCAAAACGAAACTGCTCTCATTTAGCCACTAAAGATATCATTCCCTGCCCGCCATTAACAGGGTTGATGCTAGAGTCATGGAGAGTCACTCCATGCGCGTTCTTGGCCTCAGATTTTCGAATGACTTGAAGTGGAACAACTACATTGAATCAACAGCTGCATCTACTGCAAGGAAAGTTGGTTCACTGTGTCATACCAGAAGGTTTTTCTACTCAGACTGCATTTTAAATATTTACAAATCTACTATCTGCCCGTGTATTGAGTCAGTCATATGTCATGCGTGATTAGGCGATCATTCATCTTTCGATACATTAGGATACGAAGGAATATTTAGATCTAAAATTAAAACTTCCTATATCGAAAGTATTTCTCGATTTAGAATTCTTCCCGACGTTTATTGCATTTCGCCACCGCCTATCAATATATTGGACCTGAAACTCACCTCAAGCGGAACTCGTACATACAATCCATCGCTATAGAGGCAGGATAAATGCTTGGGTCCCTGTACCGCTTCCGTAAGCATCTGACCCCTTAAGCTATCGTCTACTTTAGCCAGATGGAGCCTAGACAGTTATGTGCCATATCTTGATACACGCTTAGGCGATCATTTTTGATACATGACTGACGGGGCAGATTTTTGTTTTCCAGCAGTAGGTTGCCATTTCTTTCTGCGGTAGACCAGTTACTATCCAAGGCTATAGAACCCGATTTGTCCTGCTACTGACCAATAGCTGGGGAGAGAAGAAGAGGATTCATACCTTTCCCAAGGGTAGTATCACGTCAGCCAGTGAGTTATGTGCCATGCGTGATACACGTTTAGACTATCATGTATCTTTTCGATACATGGCTGACGAGGCAGATATTTTCCCGCAGTAGTTGCCATTTTTTTCTGCGGTAGACCAGTTGCTATCCAAGGCTATAGAACCCGGTCTGTCCTGCTATTTACCCATAGCTGGGTGGGGAAGAGGATTCCTACCTTTCCTAAGGGTATTAGCACGTCAGTCAGTCAGTTATGTGTCATGCATGATACATGCTTAGGCGATCGTGTATCCTTCGACTGACGAGGCAGATTTTTTTTTCCCTGCAGTAGGTTGCCATTTCATTCTGTGGTAGACCAGTAGCTATCCAACGCTATAGAACACGGTCTGTCTTGCTATTTATCCATAGCTGGGTGAAGAAGAGGATTCTTATCTTTCCAAGGATTTTAGCTCGTCAATCAGCCAGTCAGTTATGTGTCTGTCTTGCTATTTATCCATAGCTAGGCGGAGAAGAAAAGGATTTATACCTTTCCCGTAAATGAATGTAATGGATTCGACTGGAATTCGAACTCGGCTCTCCGATTCCTCAATCCGAGCCGCTACCCATTACTCCTCCTGTTGCCTTATCTGATCCCGTGTCCTTGCTGTTCATCTCAAGGTTCTTGACCAAATCCAAAGAAGGATCTGCAATGTAATGGATCCTGACTTGACATCTCGACTCATAATTTCACGGATGGTATGTGGCTTCCCTCTGTCTTTTCTCTATTTTCTATTTTATGACGAACTTTTTCCCTGGTGCCCTAACTACATAGATTTAAGCGTGCTGCTAGATTGGCATTTAGGTCCCACTGTTTTACCGTTGAAATAGTTAAATGTAAACGACACTTTTGACCCAGCACTTTCATTTCCCGCGCTTATCGCCTGTCGTACTCCCTTCCGTTTGCTTGCTTCCTTGGTAACTACAATAATCAGTAATTTAAATGCAACGTCAATCGACATCTTCCGATGTTTTGAACCTCGTTCGTCTTTTATGCCTTTCTTTTTCCTTATTTCCTCCCTATACACAGTTTTGCTCTCATCTTCACTATGTAAACCCCTGCGAACCAGTGGTAATCCCGCCCTGCTTGGAATGAGATGCTTAAAAAATTATTATTATTATTATTGCTGCTGTTGTTGTTGTGTTTTGCCTTTGTTTTGCGTAGTACAAATTATCTTCAAGTTTCAACCAGAGGCTTCAAGAGACACGTTTTTTTTTTTTTTTTTTTTTTTTTTTTTTTTTGTTTGTATAAGAAGACGCAAATAGATTAAGTACCACGCAATCAAAGAGAGAAAACAAATATCTGACTGTGGTCACTGCATGTAAATATAAATCCAGGCAAGACAAGAGAATCTGTCTATATTTCTGAGAGGAGGTATTATGTACATTATTTACATTATTCGGACTATTGGAAACTATTGTTTTCAGAGGGAAATTAGCAGGAGATAACTGATAACTGACATCCATCAAATATGGCACGTGGAACTAGAACAGTCTACCCCAGTGAGCAAAATAAAGGGTTCAGTTCGAAATTCCAACCACCTGAAGAAGGCCGGAGCGTACAACGGCCGAAACGTTGTGATAAATATGGCGACAAAGATGAGGACAATAGTCCGAATAATGTAAATAAAGACAAGAGAAGTACTCATGAGTGTGGTCTTTCGCCATCCATATGTTTTAGGGCTCCTAGGCATATTTGTTTGGTTCTTTTTTGATATAATTCCCACAGCCACAATAACATTAGGTAATTCCATTGTCTTCAGATGCTGCTGTTGGATTGTTATTTTATAACAGCTCCCTATCTGGAGGAGCTCCCAAACAACAATAAACATACTGATGTAATGAATATGCATACACCTGGGTTCCCCCTCACAGTAATATGATTGGCTGGTGTCAGCTATAAATACAGACTGATGTGGAGGTACAGACGACACTTTGGTACGCCTATAGCCTTCGCCTATTGTCTTCGCCTATTGCCTACCACTACGACAAGGACCAGTCCATTACGGTTACCTGCTAGATTGTCCTACTCGGTTACAATAGTCCGCAACCACTTTGCTACTTCGAACAAATATATCCCTTTCCGGGACATATCACATACTAAAAAGGGAAATGAAAAGAAGGGTACCAAAATAAGTTTCCTATTTTTATTTAATACAATAATGTAAAAGAAATACAGTATAGCATAGGGGTCCAACCCGCGAAGGATTTTTGTCCGGGCCGCCATCTTTAACACCTGGACACAAATTGTTTAATTAATTTGTGGAGCAAGTGGCAGAAATGTATCAGTCGGAGTTAAACAACTTACAATGCGAAGAATTTTTAAAATCAAAATGTAATTTCGAATCCACTGCTGACTTCTACAAGAAATATGTTTTGCCAAGTGGAAAATATAAAAGCCTATTGAATGGTATCATTATTTGAAAGTATATATGCTTGTGAACAACTTTTTCGAAAATGAAATATACTAAAATCGTTTTTCGAACAAGGTTGGCTGATGTCCACTTGGATGAGGTTTTGATCCTGCTGCCGACAAATATTTTACCTGATATGGAGAAGCTGTCGAAGAAACAAGTGTCTCATTAAATAATTTGCCATTTTTAACTGTATTTCATTTGTAGTAAAGAATTTGTATTTTTTTTTAAGCATTACGCTCCGAGCAAGGCGTGAAGCCACTAGGATGCAGGGGGTTGCGGAAGATTTGGAGCGAGAGCGGATAGGAGTGATAGAAGAAAGAATGAGGAGAAGGATAGTGGGTAGATCAAGGTAACTGGAGGTATTTTTTGTTGATTGTGTTAGTTGTTATCCAGTTATACCTGCAGTAAAATAAGGAAACTTGTTTAAATAATATGACATTAACTTCGTTGTTTTTTTATTTAAACCGCCAGACTAAGGGAATCTTCTGGACGTACCGGTCAGGGGTCGAGACAATTTATTATAGTAAATTTGGTACCATGACCCTCCTCCAAGACACTGAATAGCTTTCTGGCCCTCTCATTCTAAAAGGTTGCCGACCCCTGGCATAACATAAACCTGATACTTACAGTCAATAAGGTAAGCTCTCTACAAGATTACTACCTTTGAGCTAAGGAGAGGTGAGGTGGTCAACTATTATCTATGGATATCTTTGTCCCTCATGGTGTGAGTCTGGAAGTTGCACGTGTTCCTCTAACCTCTTCTCTGAAGCGGATTGGTGTCTAACTGTGGCAAAGGCCTTAATTCTATCTTGGTTGTCCCTACTGTGCCAAGGACATTAACTCACCTCACTTATTTGCTCGCTGGGTGGAGTGTCCCATCTAAAACCCTACACCGCATTTTACTGATCTCTGTCACGAGTTCCTTTTATTTGTTGTGTTTATCAAACGTTTTCAGAGTGTTTTTGTCAGCTGCGGCTGCAACATCAATTGGAAGGCAATTATGTCTTTGTCGATTTGCATTGATTTCTTTATCAGTTAGGACACTAAATTTCAAAGAAATTTTAAACTCTTTATTCTATGCAACTTTGGGTGGCATATGTTCCTACTGTTTGCGAGGGAGGTTGAATGCGCGACATATTGGCCAATGTATGCACTGATCAGACATATGTCGTTGCATGTACTCTATCGGTGCCAGCCAGTCATTACTGTTATTATCCGTCAAAAATGAAAATACAAAAACAAGGTTTGAGAGACAAACAAACTAGAAGGATACACTCAAAATGGTTATGGCTAATTAAGGGTGTGATATAAATGAAAAGTGATGACGATTAGAAATTATCAGATTTATCAAATATTGTTTTAAACTTTTGCTTAGTATTTACTTTCATATATATTTTTGTCTTAGTATTTACTTTCAGCTATAATTACATGAATTATTGTCAGCCATTATTTTCAGCCGAATTATTGTCAGCCATTATTATTAATTTTTGACGCGTATTCATTATTAGATGAAACATTATCAACCAATAATATTAATCTTTACTAGTACAGTATTTAATTTTATCTTCATTTTTAATAGAAAAGGTATCATTATCAACCATCTTTATTAAAATAAATGTCTGTGAACGTTGCTTGTGTGTTTGCCAGAAGTCATAGAGAGAGAGTGGTAAAAGAAAGATATGAATTTAATATCGTGTAGAAAACGGGAGGGGGGAGAGAAGGAAATGGATAAAAACCGTTCTCTCTTTCCACCTACCTCTCTCTCTTCCCACTCACCTCTCTCTCTTTCCACTCACCTCTCTCTCTTTCCACCCACCTCTCTCTCTTTCCACTCACCTCTCTCTCTCTTTCCACCCACCTCTCTCTCTTTCCACTCACCTCTCTCTTTCCACCCAGCTCTCTCTCTTTCCACTCACCTCTCTCTCTCTCTTTCCACCATCCCGTGATTGCGTGCGTGCTTATTTATATTACAGCTTTCTTTAAACCAAAAACATTTTAAATATTTTTATTTTAACTTTCTTCAGACACAATTTTTCTAATGTTGAAATCAACTTCAATAACTGCAAATAAATGTATTTTTAAAATATCTCTACCTTCACAAACACTTCAAGATACTAAATGTAAACACTAAACGCAATAAGGTTGATCCAATGTGTCACAGGTGGTCTGGTTATTATTAACTTTTGACTAATATTCACTTTCATCTTATTTTTTATTATTATTATTAGATGAAGCAATAACACTGGCCAAATTGGACAAAAACAAAGCAGCAGAACCAGACGGAATTGTAACAGAGAAGCTGGCAGCCAAACTGATTTCGGCATTGGCAAGATTATGGACATAATAAATTAAATATACAACAGTGATGATATGCCGGAAGACCTAAGTAGACCTATTTTGATAGCACTACCTAAGAAGCCAGATGAAAACGTATGTCAACTCCGTCGGACTATCAGTCTAATGAGCCATATAATAAATGTTGTGATTCGAATTCTGATAAATAGGGCGGCTGCAGAATTAGACCGGAAATAGGACAAGAACAATACGGGTTCGTTAAAGACACCGGAACAAGAAATGTAATATTTATGCTCAGAATGATATCAGAAAGAGCAATACAAATGCAAAAGGATGTAATGTCTTTAAGTTACGCAATAGCGTTTAATAAAGTACAACACAGAACTGTTGGAACTATTAGGTAACCATGATATATTTAGGAAGGATATTAGAATAATCCAAAACATGTACTGACACAAACCGCCTGCACATGGATAGAAAATGAATTTAGTAAATATACAGAAATAGAAAGGGGCGTAAGACAAGGATGTGTCTTCTTACCAGACTTATTCAACCTATACAGTGAGGCGATTCTAAGAGAACTAGAAGTCCTACCAGGATTCATTGTTGAGGGCCACGATCTTAGCAACATAAGATATGCAGATGACACAGTGTTGCTAGCAGACACGGACATTAATCTACAAGAACTCTTACAGAAGATAGTATAGGATATCAAGAAGAAAGGACTAAATATCAATTGCAAAAAGGCAGAATGTGTGGTTCTTAGCAAAAGGGACAGCCCAACATACAAATTACAAATTGGGGATAGCAAAATAAAATAAGTACAACAATTTAAATAACTGGAAAATATTTTAACGGAGGTCGGAACATGCAACACTGAAATTTGAATGATCGTTGGAATAGCGAAAGGTGCCTTTCAAAATCTAAGCAAAACATTAAGAAATAGGAAAATTTCATTAGATACAAATAAGAGAATTGAAGTTCTACCTAAGGATGGTGAGAATGCCATGGACCGAACATGTCAGCAACGATAAGGTTTTAAAGAAAATGGAAACAAAAAGGAAACTTTTACTTAACATCAGAAAGAATCAGTTGAAATTCCTCTGTCACATAATGAGGAAAGAGGGCTTCGGAAATTTGATACTCACAAGGTAGATTGAAGGCAAGAGGGACAGATGAAAACACCGCAAAAACAACGTCGCTAGAACAGGCTTTAGGAAAAATAAGAAAAAAAACATTTTTTTTAAAGATTTGCAAAAGACAGGAAATTGCGGAGAGCCATGATCGCCAACATCCTGAAGGGGGGTAAGACACATAGTAGAAGTAAAGGAAAGCAAGAAGAAATGACTAACTGTTAACTGTAAGAAGACAGAATTACAGGTTGGCAGCAAAAGAGACACTGCAAGGTTTGAGTTGGGAACGTCAAAATCAAGCGGGAAATGAAACTGATAATATTTAATTATTATTATTATTATTAATAATAATAATAATAATAATAATAATAATTTTAACTATTATTTTTATTAACTAGCTTTAAAGCCGCCCTACAGGGCGGCAATTAAGCTATCTCCTGCGGAGGGCTGTTAATTAGGCCTTCGGCTTGTTCAGGAGTTTGAGAGTCCCTATGTCTTTGCATATTCTCAGCATTAGAACCACTTCCGGTTGCCGTTTGTTCCTGGTTTTCATTTGCACGGGACTTTTTTTTTTCCTCGCTGCAGCCTTGAGTGCAATCTGGTCCTCTGTTGGCGGAAATTTCTTTTTGCGAGACCTGCTGCTGCTGTATATGATAGGCAACAATAAACTACAGAAAAAACTCAAAATTGATCGCTACATTTAAGTATTGCAATCATGTTTAAGGTTACCCTTTAAAAAGTTAACAATCAATTTTATGCCGCCACTTAATTTAAAAACACTTTGATGTACGTAGGTCCTTGTACAAACAATTAGTTTTATTTCATGGTTGACTTTCGCTGGACTACGCAATTAATTTCAATTATTCCCAAATTTATTTCCAAATTATAAAAATTGTTATCGTACAAAAAAAAAAAAAAAAAATCGTCGTATAAAAATAAAATTAAAAATCGCCGAAAACAATCGCAATAGTAAAAATTTGGGAATAAAATTTCAGATTTGTCGGTCCGGACCCGACCCGAAATGTTTTCAATTTGCTCACGGAGTCGGCCTGATTCCAAAATGGTATGATATGTTGGGCTACGGCCTCTAAGAGTAATGTTGAAATAATGTGACACACTGACACACTGAAATTCGCATTTATTTATATAGATTATTATTAATTTAATTGTTGACTAATATTTACTTTCATATTCTTTTTTTTATTATACGACGCATTTTCAGCCATTATTATTGTTGTATTCTAGAAAAGGGTTACTGAATGAGGGATAACCAAAACGGAGGTTGGAAATGAAATGCTAATCTTTATAATATCAACAAAATACAATACTCGCCAGCGCCGTGAAGTAGGTAAACCACTGCTAGAGCTAGACTACTTATATTATATTATTTACCTGCCTCCTCACGAGGTGGGATGTGGCACAAGGCCGAATTTAATGTGGGGAAATCCGAGCCCGTGGGCTCGGGCAAAAATTGCCCGTAGACCCCCGCCTACGCGTGATCGGGCATCTGTCTACCTACCCGGACGAGACTCTGCCCTTCAGCATAGCCTCGTCTGGGTTCCTCTCTGCTCAAAGGCAGATAGCTCGACACGGAAAGAGCTTCCCACGCTGCCAGCTCACGTTGCCAGCGTAGACAGCATATTACCCCACTTACAATAGTGTTTATGAAGACTGGGACATGCCCATTAATATTCATATATATATAACAATTATTTATTTTTCATTATA